TATGCCTAAATCGAGTACGTATAGCTACTGTGATTTCTTTAATATTAGGTGTGTTGGTATTTTTATTGTGATGTTGTTATGTTTGCTTTTCTGTGTACATTGGGACGTGGTTTTGGTACCACGTTGTTTGTAGTGATGGGTCTTGAACATTTTGTAGTATAATTTATATATGTATTTTTTTCAATCACCGACACAATAATGAAAGGAAACTACTGTTTTGTGATATAATAATCACTATTTTTTTCAGCCAGTGTTGTGTTCGTTTTTGAGGGTCATCGATAATCCTGCTGTTGTTATGATGGATGCGGTGGGAAACTGTCACCATCACATAGAGACACTCCACGTTTTGAAACATTTCTATTTAACTACATAATATGTTTAAAATTCTCACGGTCCTCTATATCTGCGTACAATCGAATATATTTTTCATATAAACCTGTTTGTTGATGTGATGTACATTTCACTAGTTTCCATTAATTTGTTATTTAACAATCAAGAAATATATATTCATCTCAGGCTAAACAGGAACTATAATGGATAACTTGGATTTAGCTAGATGATTTGGATTGACAAGTGTACAAGCTGTTTCACACCATACAAACGATCCGCGAATGCAACATCGAAAGCACCAACCCAATCACACTTTATACACATTACATCAATGATTTGTTTCTTTTATTATCTGAACTGTTGTTAATCAGTGATTTTGCAAAATTACTTTTCAAATAATATTTAAAGTACTTTATTTCTATTTAAGTAACACATTTTCTGACGTTGAATTTTATTGCTTCTTCAAATTATCATTTCAAATTTATTGAAAACTTTATCCTCACTAAATAGTCTCAAGTTACTTAATAGTTCTAATCAAAAGTCCATCCAGAATTGTGAGAATAATCTAGTTAAAATATTCTTATAATTAATCATACTACTTAAATTCACTGTTATTTGTATCCACGGAAGTGTAGGTGAATTCATAATTGAATGATTTATTCACAATACTATAATGCTGTAAATCTTTTATTTAATATTATTAATATAATGATCTTGATGCTTTCATTATTGTGGATAATATTCAAGGAATATATTCAATATAGATAATGAGGTATTATCTAAACAAATTCATAATCACATATTGTTTTAAAAAGTAAAATGATCCACATAATTCCAAATCATTAATCGGATTAGAAATTTTGTGCCTGAATATAAACCTCATTCGATTGATAGAATAAACTAGACAAGTAGTGAATACGTGTTTATTGTGATCTGAGGACAGTGATAGTGGAGTGGGAGGTTACGTGTTCAAACACGCAAAGCTTTTCAACATTCAATAAAAGAGAATGGAATATTTAATGCTTATAAGAAATAAGGAAGTGAATGAATATTTGAGCTCTATTGTTTTGACATGTACTTAGTTGTTTGAGGTCAACTCTTAACTAATGAACCTGAAATGTTACACGTCGTTTTCTTTCTTTCTTTCTTTTCTCTCTCAATAGTCTGTTTTCAGCGCAAATAGATTTGAGATGAATTGAGTTACAATTTTAGTTGAATGTTTAATTTGCCGTGGATTCTTTACTAAGTCGATGAATGGAACGTCTTTTTACCTTTGTTATCCTTAATTCATTTCTAGGGAAAAAGAACTCAGAAAATTGAGGTTTTTATACTAATTTCTAATTTGATTATGTATATGTACATATTTACATGTTTGAGTTTGCCGGAAGTTGGACTCCCCACTAAACTCAATCAAACATATGACATTGAGTCTATGGTGACAGCCTTTTATAACCGTGTTCGTTGTAACATTATCGAAAAACATTAAATGTGACATTACTAATGTTAGTCTGTTTTTTTTATTATTGCAGAGCAGCAAAGAGTGAATGTGCTGGAAGAAGAGGAACAAGTCCTATGTTATCTGAACCTGAAAAACAATGGATAAAACTATTTTGTAATTATTTTTCATTTTTTGTACCGCAACCACGTCTTTCAATTTCCAAAAATATATATATATCTGTTGTGCTAGTACGTCGCGTTCTTGCTCCAGAGGCATTTACCGGTCCTGACGGTTATGTTGTTGTTTCAGATCTCTCCTGTTTCCAAGTAAACGCTAATAATACGTGCTACATCGTAGCCGCGGTCTAACAACACATATGGTTGTTCATTTTCTAGATAAGCCGGTTTTAGCCTATCAATACTTATGGAGTCGATATTTCCTTGTTTTCTTTATAATTAAATATTCAGATTTCTCGAGATAACTTTGAAAGGACATTTAAATGGAGGGCTAAGCGTTGATTTTATTTTGTCACACCTTATCCAGACGTGCATGCAATTTCTGAGATCCTTAGGTACATACGCAACTAGCGATTGTTCATGTGTATTAATTGGTTTGAGTTTGGACATGTGGTCCGCTAGCTGGTCTACGCGATTTTCTAAATCACGCTTTTACTGTCACTATTAAACTCACTCGGTAGTCTCAGAGTCGTCCCGAAAACTAGTTTCGTTGCTGAACACTGTGAGTCAGTCTTGACGGCTGTTCGTATTCCCAACATAACTGATCGCAGGAATTCTGTCCACTGATTGGGGTTTGAGTGTGATATAAGTGTAGCCTTTAGTTGACGGTGGAATCGTTCTACCGTCTCATTAGCCTGAGGTTGATATGCAGTACAAGGTATTCTATTGGATCCTAAAAGTTTAGCTAAATTGTTAAATAGTTCGAGTTGTGCTCCTCTATCCGTCGTTATTGTTATAGGTGTACCAAAAGTGGTCACCCAGTTCTGCATGAAAAACCTAACCGATGTTTCGGCTGTGATGTCCGTTATCGGTATGGCTATAGGGAATTTCGTGAGTCCATCTATACATGCAAAACCGTTGGAACGCGGTAAAGGGCCTACTTAGTCGATATGCACATGGGCAAAACGCTCAACTAGTTGTGAGAAAACGCAGATGGGTGAATTTGATTGACGGTTCACTCTTGACTGTTGCCTCGCCAAACACTTTAACCCGTTTGTGTACATCCTTTTGTAAAGTTGGCCATGTCTTGCATTGATTAGTTTAGTCGAATCTTTTGCGACAGGATGAGACAAAGAGAGTTATTAAATGTTAATCTTCGCATACTTTTGGGGACGAAAGGTGGAGGTATTACCAAGGTCGTTTCAAAATAAATCAGAATATCATCAATAGACGATAGTAACTGCTTTAGTTCGAAACTACAAATTGTTTGTTGTAAAGAGGCGTTGTAAATCTTGATCCGCTTCATGTTTGTTACTCAATGTCTCGAAATTTACTGTAGACTATTGATTGACGTTCATTTATGGTCAAGATAATACATCAGCCGCCTGATTATACTGACGTTTGCCTTGTGACACAGTTGGGTGCTTTTCTCAATGTGTGTCCTATCTACTTCCAGCGTTTCTTCCTGATTTCTTCACCCGTTGGGATCTGATTTGTTCTCTCCCATAGTAGGTTGTTACTGATAGTGACTATCGATAGGCGTGAATTTTATTATTTATTTGGCAATTCACAGAGATGTACACATTATATGGGTTGAACAGTACTTCAGAATACAACTAAGTTTGAAAATGTCTTTGGAATATGGTATTCCGGATTATTGGTTTTGACCATCTCCAACAATAACTTAGAGTACAGTAGATAGTTTTACTAAATTGTGTCAGATCATAGTAAAACGTGTGCTATCGTTGGGCAATTATTTTTCACCTAACATTCCTCAGTGTTGATTCAGTAGTGAATTTCTATTGAATTACTTGTTATTTAGTTTTAAGCAAAGAAGATTTGGAAGCCATTTCTGTGCATTTGTAAACAGTGATTGTTTTTGGCACATATCATCTTTTTCTAACTTGTTATTAGGCTTATCGTCGAGATGGTCTCATTTATAATGAGTATGAACCTGTAATATTTTAAAATAAAACAATGGTATTTGTTAATTAGATTAATTGTACCTTTTATGAATATGACCTAAATCATTGTGTGCAGGTAATTAAACAAAGGACTGATTGTATGTAGTTTCATTATTCATAAAATCAATTGATGAATGCTTAATAACAAGCATGTTTAAATTATGAGTAGTGAGAATTCCTGTTGTTTTTCTACACTTGATTTACAGTGCAAGAATCCAGCCTGTTGATTTTGAAGTTGGGCCTCTCCTGAGTTTTTCATCTAGTTCAGCAACACTCTGTTGAAAATGTTTCCTGGTACCGATAATGGTATGATTCCTCCATAGTTCACACATTTGCTCAGATCTCCTTTCTTTGGTATCTTGATGAGATATTCTTCTTTCCAGTCTGTTGAGATTTGTTCCTCCTTGTTAATCTTCCTGAAGAGAACGTGGATCATGTTTGCAGTTGCTTCTATGTTTGACTTTAATGCTTCAGCTGATGTATTGTCAGGTCCTGCTGCTTTCCCACACATGATTTGTCTGATGGCCATCATGATTTCTCCCATCGTCGGTGGAGTGACATCTATAAGAAGATCTGTGTGTGCTGCTTTGATGTCCGGTGGGTTCAGTGGAGCTGGTCTATTCAAGAGTCCCTCGAAGTGCTCTACCGATCTGTTCCACTGTCCTTGAATGTCAGTGATTGTCTTGCCTTCTTTGTCCTCGACCGGTCTCTCTGGTTCACCATATTTCCTCATCAGTTTCATCGTTGTGTCATATAGCTGTCTCATATTTCCTTGTCCTATAGCTTTTTCCGCTGTCGTTGCAAGCTCTTCAACGTATTTCTGCTTATCAGCGCTGACGCCCTTCTTCACTTGCTTGTTCGCTTCTGTGTGTTGAGCTTGCGCCTTGACTTTTCCTGTTCTTTTTCAACTGTCGCTGAATTACGGTTCGCTTGTTCTTCTCTTCTTGAATCTTGTCCAGAGATTCCATAGGGATCCACTCCTTAGGATGATGCAGCTGGCGACCCAGAACCTCCTGACACGTTGAAGTTAGTGTCTTTTGATCTCTTTCCAGTTGTCCATCATAGTCTGTTTCTCTTCTCTGAGTAGATATTGCAAGGCTTGAAACCTGTTGTTGGGAGATACCATGAATTGGTTGAGTTTGTCAGTATCTCGTAGGTAGGCTGTATTGGACCGTCGTGATGGTGCTTCCACAGATGTCCAGTGTTTCTTTAGCCTCAGTTTCGCCTTGCACACAACCTGGTGGTGATCTGAGGCTATGTTATCTCCTCTTCTGGTTCTCACGTCTTCTATTGTCCTTCTGAATTTTTCATTGGTACAAATATGACCCATCTGGTTCTCCGTGTTGTGATGCGGTGAGACACATGTAACCTTGTATATGTTGAGGCCTACTGATGCAGAGGCTGCTGCTATACTAGTTGTCTTCATCTGCACTTGTTCATGTGTATGGGATAGTAGAGCCAGGTCATTTGTGAAGTTCATGCCGTCTAATTGATTCCAAACTGTGCACTGAGTTCCTTGCTTCATCTCAGACATGGAGGTTTTAATAATCGAGCGATCAGAGTAGTGTTAGCGTTTATTCACAGTGAATGTTTGTTAAGTACATGTTGTTTGAGACGAAATATGATGGTTGATGATTAAGTAGATCTGGTCATAAATGCAGTATCATATCGAATAGTTCATACAATGGTCATATCATCATCATAGTTAATGCGAATATAATTGTTAAAAATTAATTGTATTATACACAAAGTTATTTATCTATTTCATTTCAATTATTCTTCTTCTTGTCTAATTTCTTTACATTACCATAGATAACGTGGTTGCAGTCCAGTCTCCAGACTCCACAAAAACCAAGTAAGTCCGTGAAGCAATTACATACAACAAATTACATATAGATTAGCACGTACGTTGATTTCAGATACTTTAATTGTGCAACACCTAATTATGTTTGTGACAAACAAATTGTTTATCTTCACTAACCAGACTTAGTATGCTGTTATGTCCTTTCTCTAAACATTACATTTGAGATACTTTAGAAAGATATGTGTACGAGAATTTAGGATGACTTCATATTTGTTTTCTGCAGCACATTTCCATTGGTATTTCTTTTTTGGTTATAGAATGATAGGTCACACTGTTTGGTCGTGTTCAACATGTATCATCAAAAGATAAACGACGTATTTCTCCATTAATAACACATAGTCAGAAAAGAGTTGTTATAACAGTCGCAAATCAACAGGTCTGCTGATCCGATTTATCAACAACACTAATGGCACACTTTTACTGTTGAATTTTGTTAACCGACGAACACTTCCCTTCGCAAACAGTGAGATTGTTTATTTGGTCGCCTTGCATTGTTCATCATCTCATCAGTTATTATAGTGGAACATATGTGCATGTCACATTCTTTAATTCTCAGCAATTTCAAATATTGTTGAGAGCATACTTAAAGTTCAAATGAGGGCTGGGATAAGGCAGTTAAAGACAGGTCACTTCATCAATTATTTGGAGTTTTCGATGACTTCTGTGAAAATATAAGTGATTCATGTATCGTAAGAATTCACTGACTGAAGGTAGAGAGGAAGATAACTGTTATATGTAGAGCTTGGATTCTTACTATACTGCATACAACTTGAGCATTCAAACGCTGGTGAGAAGGAATTCTATTTCAAACAGTGTCAAGTATGGTACAAATCTATCAGGTATTTATGGCTTTTTAGTAGAACGAAATCATCATTATAGTCATGCAATCCGCGTACAGGTGGTTTAAGCATTTGTACAATGCGGAAGCTACATGTAGAGATTTTGGAATATTCTTCCAAAACATGATTGAATGGAAGATCCTCGGCTGGGCTTCTTTGAGCTTTGAGTTTTGGTATCTCGATATTTACGGGTAGTGCGATAGTTACCGAAGAGAATGAAATTCGCTATTTACCCACAATCATTTCACGGTATATCGATAAGAATTGATAAATTTCAGTTACTTTTGAAACAAAATGAACTGGACTACCGTCGTTTAACTGAATAGTACTGTGAATGAAATGGTTTGGTCACTTAGATTAGATCATTCTGTGATTTCAAATGAGTTGTGGATGTGGTGAAGGAATTGGAACGAAAATTGAGTTCTGCTACTCTGTCATGTGATATCGATCACTCACAAAGGCCAAATGATACTCGTGTCGATACTGTTAACGTTGAACTGGCAGTGTTATCGAGTGAAATGGAAAAAGTATTTTCGTCGAAAACCTGGTTCCCATCGTTGAAGAATACACTTGAATCGGGTAATGTGAATGTGAATAGCGCGTGGATAATTGGTGAGTGAATCACCAATGCATAACAATTTTCTAGTTGATATCCACACTTGATCAATATGTACGGTGTTCAGTTGAGATAACATAGCTTGCAGTTTTCATCATTAAGTAGTAAATATACTGTACTCCATTTCAGATATCGTTTCAGTGAGTGGTAAGTTCACAATAAATTCTGTAGTTTTGTGTGTTGTAAAATCTGTTGAAGTCAGTGATACTGAGGAATATTGAACACAATAATCTGTCAATGTGGTGTAGGAATTTAGGAAGTGAATGATGTGTAATGATTTGTAAATGTGAGTTGTCGAATGAGTGAAAGAGTCAGTCAGTTGTCATCAACCACAAAATAATATTTATCTTGAATTTTAGATCCGACAGCCGTTGGCCGTGGTAAGTTGTCCTATATATGTGGCTGTTGATTTGAATTTGGATTTCCTGTTATATCTTGATGGCCTCAATAGAAGTGTGTGTGAATGTGACAAGATGACATGGGTTGATTGCTTTGTTTAGGACTGTTATTTTAACTGAATGATGGGAAGCCGGCGAACGTAATATAGAAGATGCGATTGTAGTGAAATTATGAAGATAATGTCTGAACGATCTTATTGTTCTTTGCCACTAATTCACCGGTCATCACAAATACCGATGCGTTGTCGGGCACAGAGTTCTTAATGCCTCATTGTTAATAATTTTGTACACTTTATATGGACGCATATTGGATAGTGTGGTTTGATTATTAGACTGAATGTTCTAATTGATAATTGATGGTAGATCTTTGTTTCACTATTTACTTCTGTTAAACGTTGTACACTTTAGATTTTTATACATTCCAAATGCATTATAATTTCAGTGATTAACACACTGATTTGTGCTCTGGGTCGGGTTACTCGATAATCAAGCTGTATGAAGTTTTCAGAATTTCTTTATGGGATTATGTTTCGGTGAAGCGGCAGTCATATTCTCGTTTGTAAAAGTTACTTCGGATTCACTATTCAGTTGCTGATTTTATTCACAGTAAAGCAAATAGTTGACATAACTCTAAAACTCGTAAATACCAGATAATAATATCGATCAGGTTATATGCAATGAATGAAACGAAATACAAGTTACGATGTCAACAATCTCGTTGAAAAAGAGAAAGGAATTTAACTGTTCAGATGACACTTATTCAAAATTCAACGTCCTAATATACACTGTTAAGATACAGATGATGAGATAAAATGACAAGTAGAATGGTGGAAGAGCATGTGCCACACATCAGAATTCTCCATCGAACTCAATTCCGAAAAATCCGTTCCAGTTGTTCTCAGTTGCTATTCATTCTTTTGAAATGCACTTCATTTTTGGCTGCCTAGTACTGGATAACATTCATTGTAATATCCTCCTACTTTGTTTTGAATGATCCTTTAATGATTGTGGGTTCATGAGATTCTCATTCTATAAATGCTTTTCGTACTTCCTTGGACAGCATCACAGCACCTCCTTGTGTGTGAGGTGCACTTTCTTCTTCGTGATCAAAGTACAACAATGACCAAGTTGGAAATTAATCAATGAAAGCTATGACATGGTCATGGATCAAAATATGTCATCGGATTGTTACAGTGACTTAATAATATTGATAGACTGTCTTTCATACAATACACAAGGGATCCACTCATCTTTGGAATGTTATTACGGTTTCGTTTTGCGGAACAAATTATGAAAGCGGTAACACTTTTATTTAAAGTACAGAATAGAAGGAAGCCGATCGAAATCACGTTTTTATCAAAGATCACGTATGATGAGCAGCTAAAATATTTCTGTAGAGAAATATCAAACCTCTTATTGTTTCTATTCTTATTCTTATTATTAATCAAATGAGTGAAAAGGAATGTTAATAATGACTGCAGGGTTAATTAAGTTAAACTCTAAAAATAGTATACAAATGAGCATGAAAGAGGACTGACAATATGAATAATATTTTAGACTGAGATCATGAATCGAATGATGTTAGACCACCATTGAAGACCTGGAAGCACTGGACGGCTGTTTCGTCCTATTTTGTGACTCTTCAGCAGTGCGCATTCACAATCCCACTCTCGGGATCTCAATCAAAAAGATAATAATCGTCACAACCTCCTGTTAACAATGTCAACAATAATGTTTTATTTCAGTATTAATCCTTGATGTACTGCAGACAAAAAGTAATCGTTCATGAATAGTTTATTAATTAATTCTGATAATTATTAGTATAGAGGTTGTGGAGATTAATAAGTTTTTGATTGAGATCATTTCGTGGATTGGTTGATGTTAGACACATGATTGGATGCCGGCTCAGTGGTTTAGTAGGTGAAACGTTCACGCGCGAGACTGAAGGCGGTGGGTTCGAATCCTGCGAGCGGGATCGACAATAGGACGAAACGGCCGTCTAGTGCTTCGAGGTTTCCAACGGTGGTCTAACATCAATCGCTTCATGATCTCAATCAATCAATTCTGATACAGTTGTTAGTGTTAAAACTGTTGGCACTGAAAATTCTGGACACATGTGTTTACATGAAATCAATCACAAACAAGGTGGGTTTTGCAAGTTGTACCATATATCCAGAATGTCCAACATATAATCATCAGGGAATATTATTTCTTGAAATCAATCACACTTAATCTAATACCTGATTTATATTTGATAATAATTATATGTGATTTGTTTGGACAACCTATGTTGGGGCAAAACACTTACATATTCAGCATCAACGTATTCACTTATTGTATATGTTTACATCTATTCTGAGTAAATACAATGGCAAACTAAATCGTCTTTTCAAACGATATTCCAAAGTAAGTCACATCTGCAACTATTGTGAGGTGATAGAACGTTCGATAATTTAGAACATGAATTTCTTGAAGATTTGAATGGCTCTTTAACTTGCTTATTAATGTATCGTACATCCACAACTGTCAATGATTGAGGCGTATACATTTTACACTTGGCTTTAGAAGCGTGTGATCTTTGTTTATGCGTATATCTTTTGGAGTTTCGGTCTTCGATGATAACATGTAGCATGAAATAAGCTTGTATGATAAACACTCACATATTATTTTATGTGCATGAACTTCCTTCAGCCGAGATGCATTGACTATCGATATTTATTTACTTGCTTGCTTACTTACTTACACGTGTTACTTCTAATGGAGCATAGTCCTCCGACCAGCATTCTCCAACCCACTCTGTCTTGGGCCTTCCTTTTCGGTTCTATCCAATTGTTGCTCATTCTTCTCATGTCTGTCTCCATTTCTCGACGTAATGTGTTCTTTGGTCTTCCTCTTTTATTTTGGCCTTGAGGATTCCATGTGAGTGTTTGCCTTGTGACACAGTTGGGTGCTTTTCTCAATGTGTGTCTTATCTACTTCCAGCGTTTCTTCCTGATTTCTTCACCCGTTGGGATCTGATTTGTTCTCTCCCATAGTAGGTTGTTACTGATAGTGACTATCGATAGGCGTGAATTTTATTATTTATTTGGCAATTCACAGAGATGTACACATTATATGGGTTGAACAGTACTTCAGAATACAACTAAGTTTGAAAATGTCTTTGGAATATGGTATTCCGGATTATTGGTTTTGACCATCTCCAACAATAACTTAGAGTACAGTAGATAGTTTTACTAAATTGTGTCAGATCATAGTAAAACGTGTGCTATCGTTGGGCAATTATTTTTCACCTAACATTCCTCAGTGTTGATTCAGTAGTGAATTTCTATTGAATTACTTGTTATTTAGTTTTAAGCAAAGAAGATTTGGAAGCCATTTCTGTGCATTTGTAAACAGTGATTGTTTTTGGCACATATCATCTTTTTCTAACTTGTTATTAGGCTTATCGTCGAGATGGTCTCATTTATAATGAGTATGAACCAGTAATATTTTAAAATAAAACAATGGTATTTGTTAATTAGATTAATTGTATCTTTTATGAATATGACCTAAATCATTGTGTGCAGGTAATTAAACAAAGGACTGATTGTATGTAGTTTCATTATTCATAAAATCAATTGATGAATGCTTAATAACAAGCATGTTTAAATTATGAGTAGTGAGAATTCCTGTTGTTTTTCTACACTTGATTTACAGTGCAAGAATCCAGCCTGTTGATTTTGAAGTTGGGCCTCTCCTGAGTTTTTCATCTAGTTCAGCAACACTCTGTTGAAAATGTTTCCTGGTACCGATAATGGTATGATTCCTCCATAGTTCACACATTTGCTCAGATCTCCTTTCTTTGGTATCTTGATGAGATATTCTTCTTTCCAGTCTGTTGAGATTTGTTCCTCCTTGTTAATCTTCCTGAAGAGAACGTGGATCATGTTTGCAGTTGCTTCTATGTTTGACTTTAATGCTTCAGCTGATGTATTGTCGGGTCCTGCTGCTTTCCCACACATGATTTGTCTGATGGCCATCATGATTTCTCCCATCGTCGGTGGAGTGACATCTATAAGAAGATCTGTGTGTGCTGCTTTGATGTCCGGTGGGTTCAGTGGAGCTGGTCTATTCAAGAGTCCCTCGAAGTGCTCTACCGATCCGTTCCACTGTCCTTGAATGTCAGTGATTGTCTTGCCTTCTTTGTCCTCGACCGGTCTCTCTGGTTCACCATATTTCCTCGTCAGTTTCATCGTTGTGTCATATAGCTGTCTCATATTTCCTTGTCCTATAGCTTTTTCCGCTGTCGTTGCAAGCTCTTCAACGTATTTCTGCTTATCAGCGCTGACGCCCTTCTTCACTTGCTTGTTCGCTTCTGTGTGTTGAGCTTGCGCCTTGACTTTTCCTGTTCTTTTTCAACTGTCGCTGAATTACGGTTCGCTTGTTCTTCTCTTCTTGAATCTTGTCCAGAGATTCCATAGGGATCCACTCCTTAGGATGATGCAGCTGGCGACCCAGAACCTCCTGACACGTTGAAGTTAGTGTCTTTTGATCTCTTTCCAGTTGTCCATCATAGTCTGGTTCTCTTCTCTGATAGATATTGCAAGGCTTGAAACCTGTTGTTGGGAGATACCATGAATTGGTTGAGTTTGTCAGTATCTCGTAGGTAGGCTGTATTGGACCTTCGTGATGGTGCTTCCACAGATGTCCAGTGTTTCTTTAGCCTCAGTTTCGCCTTGCACACAACCTGGTGGTGATCTGAGGCTATGTTATCTCCTCTTCTGGTTCTCACGTCTTCTATTGTCCTTCTGAATTTTTCATTGGTACAAATATGACCCATCTGGTTCTCCGTGTTGTGATGCGGTGAGACACATGTAACCTTGTATATGTTGAGGCCTACTGATGCAGAGGCTGCTGCTATACTAGTTGTCTTCATCTGCACTTGTTCATGTGTATGGGATAGTAGAGCCAGGTCATTTGTGAAGTTCATGCCGTCTAATTGATTCCAAACTGTGCACTGAGTTCCTTGCTTCATCTCAGACATGGAGGTTTTAATAATCGAGCGATCAGAGTAGTGTTAGCGTTTATTCACAGTGAATGTTTGTTAAGTACATGTTGTTTGAGACGAAATATGATGGTTGATGATTAAGTAGATCTGGTCATAAATGCAGTATCATATCGAATAGTTCATACAATGGTCATATCATCATCATAGTTAATGCGAATATAATTGTTAATAATTAATTGTATTATACACAAAATTATTTATCTATTTCATTTCAATTATTCTTCTTCTTGTCTAATTTCTTTACATTACCATAGATAACGTGGTTGCAGTCCAGTCTCCAGACTCCACAAAAACCAAGTAAGTCCGTGAAGCAATTACATACAACAAATTACATATAGATTAGCACGTACGTTGATTTCAGATACTTTAATTGTGCAACACCTAATTATGTTTGTGACAAACAAATTGTTTATCTTCACTAACCAGACTTAGTATGCTGTTATGTCCTTTCTCTAAACATTACGTTTGAGATACTTTAGAAAGATATGTGTACGAGAATTTAGGATGACTTCATATTTGTTTTCTGCAGCACATTTCCATTGGTATTTCTTTTTTGGTTATAGAATGATAGGTCACACTGTTTGGTCGTGTTCAACATGTATCATCAAAAGATAAACGACGTATTTCTCCATTAATAACACATAGTCAGAAAAGAGTTGTTATAACAGTCGCAAATCAACAGGTCTGCTGATCCGATTTATCAACAACACTAATGGCACACTTTTACTGTTGAATTTTGTTAACCGACGAACACTTCCCTTCGCAAACAGTGAGATTGTTTATTTGGTCGCCTTGCATTGTTCATCATCTCATCAGTTATTATAGTGGAACATATGTGCATGTCACATTCTTTAATTCTCAGCAATTTCAAATATTGTTGAGAGCATACTTAAAGTTCAAATGAGGGCTGGGATAAGGCAGTTAAAGACAGGTCACTTCATCAATTATTTGGAGTTTTCGATGACTTCTGTGAAAATATAAGTGATTCATGTATCGTAAGAATTCACTGACTGAAGGTAGAGAGGAAGATAACTGTTATATGTAGAGCTTGGATTCTTACTATACTGCATACAACTTGAGCATTCAAACGCTGGTGAGAAGGAATTCTATTTCAAACAGTGTCAAGTATGGTACAAATCTATCAGGTATTTATGGCTTTTTAGTAGAACGAAATCATCATTATAGTCATGCAATCCGCGTACAGGTGGTTTAAGCATTTGTACAATGCGGAAGCTACATGTAGAGATTTTGGAATATTCTTCCAAAACATGATTGAATGGAAGATCCTCGGCTGGGCTTCTTTGAGCTTTGAGTTTTGGTATCTCGATATTTACGGGTAGTGCGATAGTTACCGAAGAGAATGAAATTCGCTATTTACCCACAATCATTTCACGGTATATCGATAAGAATTGATAAATTTCAGTTACTTTTGAAACAAAATGAACTGGACTACCGTCGTCCACCTGAATAGTACTGTGAATGAAATGGTTTGGTCACTTAGATTAGATCATTCTGTGATTTCAAATGAGTTGTGGATGTGGTGAAGGAATTGGAACGAAAATTGAGTTCTGCTACTCTGTCATGTGATATCGATCACTCACAAAGGCCAAATGATACTCGTGTCGATACTGTTAACGTTGAACTGGCAGTGTTATCGAGTGAAATGGAAAAAGTATTTTCGTCGAAAACCTGGTTCCCATCGTTGAAGAATACACTTGAATCGGGTAGTGTGAATGTGAATAGCGCGTGGATAATTGGTGAGTGAATCACCAATGCATAACAATTTTCTAGTTGATATCCACACTTGATCAATATGTACGGTGTTCAGTTGAGATAACATAGCTTGCAGTTTTCATCATTAAGTAGTAAATATACTGTACTCCATTTCAGATATCGTTTCAGTGAGTGGTAAGTTCACAATAAATTCTGTAGTTTTGTGTGTTGTAAAATCTGTTGAAGTCAGTGATACTGAGGAATATTGAACACAATAATCTGTCAATGTGGTGTAGGAATTTAGGAAGTGAATGATGTGTAATGATTTGTAAATGTGAGTTGTCGAACGATGTGTCAGCCATTGGCCGTGTTGAGTTTTCAAACGTCTATTTATCATATAGAAAAGCCTTAGAAGGCCATGGTCAAAATGTACAAAGTTTAAAGGACATACTAATGAAAGTATATTGGTTCTTCCCTGAGTATGATATAAATTTCTGATGTGTGTAATACAACATGTATATATTTCCTGTCAGGATGTTGATTAACTGTGGTGTTTTCATGAACTAACGATTCCTTTGTATTTGATGACTGTTTGAATTCGAATTCCGAATGCAATAAATTCCTTTGTGTTCATTTAGCACTTCTCGGTTAAATTGCGTTATTTCTGGGATTTATGGAATTCTGTTTCGGTTAAGTTTATATATCCATATTTAAAAACAGTTCATCTTCTTAACAAATTGATCAATGTCCAAACGAGAATTGCAATGTTTTTAGTAGACCGACATCTTTTTCATTTAACTAATAATTAATTTGCATCAATTTTTCATTTCATCTTTCCTGAACGTAATTCATTTGCAGTTCTCACTGATGAATATTGTTTGATCGTTTGTCAAAGTATAGATCATTGTCTTTATATTTCTCTTCTATCATTTAAGTTGTGAATTGCCTCACTCACTGCATAAACGTTATCACCGACTTGAAATATTGTAAAATGGTCATGTGTGAATGATGACATCGCCTGCAATCCTATATCATCACATCCTATTACTGACCATTAGTTCTCTTTATTCCTAACATTCAGCTGGTCAGCGCAAATTACTGTAGTGCCCTGTCGCACTCAACTTGCCATATGTTTTGAATAAATCATTGATTACAAATTACGCCACTGTAAATTCCACAAATATGATTCTCCATCATTGTTTATCTATCCTGCGGTAATGTCACGAATACCATTCAGTATATGTTGGAAATCGCTTTCGAAGTTTAAACGTGAATATTTGTGAAGACGTAGGTGGTCTATTCATCTTGACCAAACTGTCGGTCTTTGTGAATTTATTGTACAGGACGGAGCATGCAACACTCAGGGCACAACCTATTAGCTTTGGCGTAAAAACGAAATACCCGTTTCAAAGTGTGAATGGTAGCACTAGGTGCTAAGTATCACACAGTTAATGGATGAACTGATCACACAGCAATTACTCACTTTCCGCACAAATTTCAGATCATTTATACATTATAGCTGGTAACAGTTTCTGATAAGATAACTTCAACGTTAGTTTCGCACACCAACCACAAATACCTTATCACAGCTACTAACAAAAGGTGGAATTTCTGATAGAGAACAAAAGTTCATCAAAATCATTACCTGAGCTACATATCTTTTCCACCATCTCAAACGGGGAATGTTTAGATTTGACCTGAGTTCACAAACTGTTAAAATTAAAATAACACTCCATGTCCATAAATTCGTTTTACAATATAAAGGATAAATAACCTGTAGAAGACAATAACCAATAAGATATGTCATCACTTTGCAATTGAATGATAATCATTAATATTATTGAAAGTTTGACTGAACAAACATCCACATTCTACAATCATCACAGATGTCTAACATTAATAATCACTCCACCACTCAAGCTCACGAGTTGAATCGAGCATGTCAACAATTCGATCTAGGTGAGATAACCCAGAACTAGATCAAACTCTCAATTTCTGCCAGCCGATAGCAGTCACAATCTGGTTCTGAAATCCGTACTCATATTTACGCACTCATGGAACAGTGCAAACCCCTAATACTTCACGTTGTGACGGTGGAGTTCCAATTTGTTCTAAATGTAGACCGTGACAAGAAGGTAACTGAAAAGAAAAGTGGTGCACGAACAGTGAATCCATTCGCCCTGAAGGCTGAACATCAACATAATATAGAAGAAGATTCTCGGTTTAGTGGTGGTCGACATAATGGAAAATATGCACATATAAAACTGATAAGTGCAACAAGTGTCCGTGAAGCGATCATATAATAATGACGGGATCGATGTCCAATTTCTCAATAATCCTTTTGTCATTTCGACCTTGAATTAAGGAATTTCGCAGCCCAATATATACTAATTTCATCTTCAATATTCTCACTGATCACTTTAAATACATGTGGAGTGGTTGTGTCACATATGAGAATGTTTCGTTTATATTACAATTATCACAACGACTTGGCATGGTGCACGGAATCAGGCTAAAATAATACAATGGGTAATGCTCGACGTGCAAAATGTCGTTGCATTTTATTCTTAATGTAAACTGCGAAACCTATGACACTAATTAGCTTGAAATCTTTACTATTTTTAGCGGGAGAGAATTGCATGCTGACACATTGAGAATACGGAGATGCTGATGAATGTTGCACATCCAATTGTTTTATGCCGATAAATTGGTACAGAGATCTTCACATTCATTGCCATTAACTGTACCACGGAAATAGAAATGCATAATGATTAAGAAGTTTACTTGTACTATGAATGGACTGAGTGTACATCACGGTGAGCCTGAATGAATTTAATCTTGGAACATTTGTTTTCTTACATCAACATAAATTCATTTGTATGAGACTCTCACGCCATCATACTTTTTCAACGCCTTTGAAGATATTTCAGCCGGAAACTGAATAGGCGCATACGCAAGTTGACAGGGAATGTGTGGTCAGGATGGAGTGAAATTAAACGATGTGGTAAATGTTTTAATTTCAGGTTCTCAAGTAACACTGGTGTGTGATAATGAAAGGGGTGACCAATAGATGAAAAATAGTTTGATGAATTTATCAAAGATTGAATGACTATTTGTTTGGACTCTATCTCGTTACACGTGATGGTTACTTTTATTGATTTTTTGAATGATGGTCTCATTCACATTGGTTTTGACCTTGGTATAGTTTAGAAAATGTGGCATCGACCAATCGGATAACTTCTATCCTTACACTTGCCAATCACATACGTTTTAATTGTGACTAGAATGACACGTTATCATTGTATTTAAACAGGAATCAAGACGTTAACTGTGTAATTGATTTCAGAAAACTTGGTGAATTACAGAGAGCAAATATGTTTAGATCACAAGTAGCAGTTGTTTGGTTTCTCTTCTTTTTCCTGGTCTGCAATGCGGGTAAGTTTGAAACTTTCTAAATGTGCGTTTCCATCTTTACTTTCATTCATATGACGATGTACTTGACATAAATAATCACTCAGTAATAATGTCGTTAGTCAGTATACGGTGATGAACCGTTTTAAATATTTTGATTGACCAGGAAGTCGCCCGTCATTAGTGTGCGTTGACGAGCACTCTTCATGTCGTGAAAGATGTTTACACTTATTCGATCTCCACATTGAGCATTGGTTCTCCTACAATCACAATATAATTCACCGTTGAGTATCAATCAGTATGGAATCATACTAAGTTCTGCTTCCTTATGACTAATTTCGAACAGCTCACGGGTAGTATAATAAGTCAAATGCCTTGATAGTCTACAGGCTCCAATAAAGCCTTGCCGAAGTCATTGATTGATAAATAAGAATTTATCGTTCGTGTACTGCAAGCATTTTGAAATTTGCTAACATGACGATATTAGAAAGCAATATTGTCCTGACAAAACTGCATGACATTTACCTGTATCACGTGATACAATGTGACAGCAGCATAAGTTGTAATACTTGCCTGTTTGTAATCCTTATCGAAGAACCATAAAGAAAGTATTCGTTCAACACTGTTCTGACTTACTATCAATATGAACGACTGAAGTTTTCAATAGATCCCCATTGGATGATATAAACAGTGGAAGAATGTCCTGATTGAACGCGTAGTGGAAAACGTGAATTTACTTCATATTTGTCGTCAGTAGAAGTAAAGACAAACTTTAAATCTAAACATTTAGTGAAACTTTGAAGTGAAGCTTTCATACAACCATGATGCTCGGAAACAGATGGTTTCTGAAAAATGATAACTATGAATAATAAACGACGAAATCCTCTGCGAATTGATTATTTATGATTGTTTCTGTCCGTTATAATGGGTTGTTTCAAATCCTTAGTTCGAATCATGTTCTGACCCTTGCTAGGCTAACAGTGATGACCAGAGAACACGCAAGAACTGATTCGTTCTAGTATGGAAACTCAAATTAATGAACGACAACTGTTAAACGACAAATTGTACTCGTGAACAGTTCACCAGACTGTGTCGGCACCTAGTTTTTCAGATCCTGTACCACAGCCAGTCTACACTGTTATCGCTACGTGGTTTTCAGTGTAACGTGAACAATCTATGTGTACTTCTTGCACCGATAACAAAACCATGACGAGTTGACGGATGAACCTCCACATAACGCTGTGAACATATTCGAGTGTCATCAGTCTCGTTGTAGATGAAGTTGTCATCAGGAGAAATGAATAAATGGCACTCAATGGAAGCATACTGGACCGCACATCACATGGAATAGGATTCGATGTTTCACAGGTTTCACAGGAAAACAGACGAGACTCTGTGAATTTTGATGATCACTTGAACTCCTACTTCAATGTAAAGGAGTTTGAAGTACGGTAGATCAAATGGATCACCGTAGACGTGTTTAGTCGGTTGATCAAGCAAATGTCTATTGATGTGAATATGTGTGTGCTTTCAAATGAAAGACGAGAATTAGTGATTCCAATAAATCTCGCTCACGATGTCATACGAAATCAAACAGCTAATATTATTCTGAATGATTCTTGATAAACATGCACCTAGTTCGTTCGGTGGTTAGAGTTCATTGTCAGTAATAGCTAAAATCGTTGTTCATGCTGATAGCCACTCGTCAGCAAAGTCTGTCTGAAATTTTGAAGGAAGTGTTGCATTACAGTGTGTTGCACCCCATGTAAAATAGCTCCACAATCTGTGATATCAACAGTGAGCTATTCTTCGACAGCTGGACTCTTGTCTATAGGCGAATTCCTTGTTGACTGAATACTGTTTAGTGGCTAATCCACTCAATGTTAAATGCCGTTAATACCATTATGTAAACGTGATGCTAGTCACTACTCACTGACCAATCACTTGTTGTGTCTACTCGTCAGTAAACTGATGAAGCGTTTCTCAATTCATGTGAATGTCTCATCTTCATAATTTCCATTGTTTTTTGTTGACGTCACAGGAGATCAAGAAGTGGCAGCTGAGACACTTGAGTTTTCAAGTAAAGGTAAGTTATTTGAACGGTAATATCATTTGATGAACTGCGTTTACATCACGTTTCGTATAAAATGTTGAACGAAAATCGTTCATTTTTGTGTATATTGAATGAAATATGCAGTACAATTTGGTTAGATGTTCAGACGCGACACATTTTGATAATTAGGAACATTTGAATTATAGTACGAACTAAGAATCCCAGAAATAACGCAATCGGATCAAGTAGTAGTATATAGGCACGAAGGAATGCACTGTATTTCGAATTCGAAACCAAACATTCAACAGTTACAAAGGAATCATTATTTCATTCAAACACCACACACATATTCTTATCTTACATCCGAACTACAGTGAATATCGTCATGCGCTACGGTTTTCATGGTTTCAGTTTGGAAGAAATTGAAGTGACCATCCCAGTTCTGTATGGTTTGATGTATTGTTGATTCTTGCTTTAGCTCATTCACTTAGTAACTCCTAATCAGTTATCGTATATTGGATCACTCTGTCTAGACACGTTCGAAATGCTTCATGTACGATTTCCTGCGCAATAGTCGTGCTGCTGTTTTGAATGATTTTCGTGTTTGAATTGTGCCTGCATCTAATATATTTGAATTCCGGTTTGTTTTAGATATCGCTGTATATATACTATCTGTCCGTGTTAAGGAGTGGGATGAAATAATTGGAAATAATTCATTAGCACAATCCCTAAAGCTTCTGGATAGATATTGTGCAAACGTAAGTCTAGAAGCTCTCACTCAAGTTCTAAAACACGAAGAGACGTGTATGACAACATTATTCGAGTCATTTTACTTCATATATATATATATATATATACTCATTGATCTATTGGAGACGCAGCAATGAATGTTAGATGATGTGTTGCAATGGGACGTGTACATTTATGTGAAAATTTGTAAAATACGCAAAAATGAAATTTTGTTGCTAAAGGGTAAATGTTAGATATCACTATGAGTCTGAGTAACCATTTTAATAATGTGAATATCAATAAAATTTACATTTCGAGTTAGAATGATCACTTTCACAAAAACTTCAACGAAATAATCTGACGGATAGTGTTCTCATGTGATTTCTTAAAGGTTGTGGATGTGGTGAAGGAATTGGAACCAAAATTGAGTTCTGCTACTCTGTCATGTGATATCGATCACTCACAAAGGCCAAACGATATCCGTGTAGACAATATTAAGGTTGAACTGGCAGTGTTATCGAATGAAATGGAAAATGTATTTTCGTCGAAAACCTGGTTCCCATCGTTGAAGAATACGCTTGAATCGGGTAGTGTGAATGTGAATAGCGCGTGGATAATTGGTGAGTGAATCACCAATGCATAACAATTTTCTAGTTGATATCCACACTTGATCAATATGTACGGTGTTCAGTTGAGATAACATAGCTTGCAGTTTTCATCATTAAGTAGTAAATATACTGTACTCCATTTCAGATATCGTTTCAGTGAGTGGTAAGTTCACAATAAATTCTGTAGTTTTGTGTGTTGTAAAATCTGTTGAAGTCAGTGATACTGAGGAATATTGAACACAATAATCTGTCAATGTGGTGTAGGAATTTAGGAAGTGAATGATGTGTAATGATTTGTAAATGTGAGTTGTCGAATGAGTGAAAGAGTCAGTCAGTTGTCATCAACCGCAAAATAATATTTATTGTGAATTTCAGATCAAAAAGCCGATGTCCGTGGTGAGTTTTCTTATAAATATATGAGGCTGTTGATTTGAATATGGAGTTCCTGTTATTTCTTGTTGGCCTCAATAGAAGTGTGTGTGAATGTGACAAGATGACATGGGTTGATTGCTTTGTTTAGGACTGTTATTTTAACTGAATGATGGAAAGCCGGCGAACGTAATGTAGAAGATGCGATTGTAGTGAAATCATACAATTTATTGAATGTGTCCGGGAATGTTCGACTCCTTAAGACCGTTTTAATTGATCGCCATAATTTGCTCAGTCACACGCTCCTGACTTTGAGATGCTTGAAAATATTCGACACACAAACACACTCGCATTAAATTCACACAGCGGAATCATTCAACTGATATGCTGTGTATCACTCCGCTGTATTTCAGTGATTTTCTCACCATAGACAAGGTCACGTGTTCTTCGGCACGTTGGTTTCGATCTGTTCAGCTCAACAGTGTCCAGATCGCCAATCGTGTTGAGAAATTGATCATAAACTTTGATAACCATTCCTGCACCAGCTTCACGTCCTCGTCACAACGAACGTCACAATAGTTTGACTGAGTATGAGATCATCAGTGAATTTAAATAATGTCTGAACAATCTCACTGTTTTTATCACAGATTCCTCGGTCAACACGAAAATCGATATGTTGTTCAGCTCACAGTACCCACTGAATAGAGTGGTTTGATTAGCAAATCGATTTATGAAATATTTTGTTGAGAGTGAATATTCGTTTTACAAACTATATTTAATGAAATGTGTACATTTTAGATTCCCATCTGTTCAACCAAACTTATCCTAAGGCTTTACTAGCTATTGATAAGTGCCCTAAGGTGAGTTTCTATCTGGTCATGCATTATAAAGTCTTCTTGAATCCATTACGTTTCGTGTCGATCGATCAAGTAGCAGTCGTGTGTTGATTTGAAGAGTTTACAGATTTACGTTGATTGCGTTAGTTTTGATATCTTCGTACCGTTAATCCCACAATTTCAACGAGAAGTTCGTCGATATTCGTTTTGATGACATTTGTTGATGAATATATTAATTTCTTGATATTCTGTAGACCTGAATGTCAACCATCAATGTTATGTGGCTTTCGTATCATTTGTTATCTGCTTTCGTCAGAATTTAAATAAAAACAATTTCATAGAATAATGAGATCAAGTTCCCACAAGGTTCTTATGTGACACATACCGATGAGTACACAATACCTAATTGTTTAAAACAGACATTGTTTCAGTAGATTACAGAATAAATATTAATGCCATAAAACACTGTCTCAATATTTTGATTTCAGTTGAAGATCATTATGTCGAATATATATCCTGGATTCGGTGAAACAATGACGAACTGCACCTTCGATGTGTTGACAGAAGTTATAAGCACGAAGATGGACTACCGAGAACTTATGAAGAAAGGGTATTGCTGTTCAGAGCATAGTATATATAGAAGAATTTACTGGTCTATTCATGAATTACTATATAAAGGAGAAAGCGGTGAGTAATTCTGCAAAACAGGTAAAGAATACAAAATTATTTTCGAAAAATGTTTAGGGCAAGTGTACGCAAGTGTCGCTGAAAAATGTCGCGACAGATGGAAATAATGCAGACGAGAGCAAACACACAAGCACACACGCACACAAATGCACTCAGGCATTAGTACACAAGAACATAAGGCGATCAGTGAATGAAATTTCAGACATCAGTTCTAGTCTATTTCATTATCTCATTGAACTTACTCTGTCGGTTTATTTTTCGATGCCTTCCTGTTATTTAGATGGAAAAACGACCATACAGAAAGAAATATCTCAACCTGGAACAACAACTGATAAAGAGGAAACGTCTCTCGGTATGTTTGCACAATTGATGATTTCTATCTCTCCCTGATTAGTAAATCAACGGTCTTGAGACATGTCACTTTTGATCTTCATATGCTGGTGATCATTGTCTCCAGCAACGTTTTTCCGCAGCTTTGTTTCACTTTTCTGATTCATTGGCATATGTTTTGTGCTTGTTCGTAACACCTGTTTCTTTATGCTCGATATCACAAAGTCGGTTTACATCATGGTGTAAATTACGTCTTGTTGAATTTTTTCATCAAAATTATTTTCAAGGTTTGCCGTCAATTATACGAATCTCTGAATTAGAAAACTTGGAAGTGAACTATACAGGTAACATTAAAAATTGATCATACTGGAACAACGTCTTTGCATTTTATCACGAATATATTCAAGCACATTTTTCTACTTGCGATTTGTCAGTTGTCTGTATCATGATTAAGATTATGTGGATGTAGTGCACACATATTGCACATATGCAACAACACTAATGTGATCTCAGCGAAACTATCAACAACGGGATTATTCTTCTGAATGATCTCATTTGCACAAATCCGAGGTATTAGCGAACCTGACATTATCTGTCTCCTTATTTCGATTGTATCTCGCTTCGACCTAACTCTTGGTTCTATTTTCGCAGATGAATATTTCGATTGATTGAAAGTCTGTAATGATTTCGATGTGTTTGTTAATTGCTGATTTAGTTAGGTGTCAAGTTAAGGAGAGATCCTATGGTGTACGTAGTATCCTTTCTATCAAGGATTTCAATATCTTTCCAGTCAAACGAGTATTCACAAATGTTCTTATGCAATGATCCAAACGAAGATTTATCATAACGTTTTACTGTTAATTGATGTTCATGAGGACAAACATCAAGGAGGCATCAACGTTGTTCTATATTGAGATTTTCGTCATTAGAACGGTCTATTTAGTAAATGACTTTTGGTTGTTTGCTACAGTCGTTTCGTACTGTGGTTTGCCAACGATTACTAATAGTGTAATTGCTGGCACTTCAACTACATCTGTCAGCTGTCATACGACGCAGTCGTTAATCCTTATTTCTACCGACCTGTTTGCCATGTTATTTGAGTATGCTTACATAAATGCTGAAGTATGTGATGATAATGTTGCTTGTGGAAACAATGGGAAAAGGGTGATCGATCAAATCGACCAGTCAAATCAACTCCTGTAAGCCCCTTCAACGAGATGCAAACCACCTACTCCACCTCCAACTTTCTTTTTCCTAAAGTGATAATTTAATTGTACTGCGTATTTGTTTCAGTAGGAACAGGCAAACATAATGATAGCCGTCTATTTTAACTTTGTTTGAAGTTTATTTATATCAATTTATCACTTCAATTTTTCTAACCACAATTCATTTGCAGTTCTCACTGATGAATATTACTTAATTGTCTTTCAAAATATAGGTCACTGTATCTATGCTTCGTTTCCATCTGGTAAGTTGTGAAATATGTCGCTCAATGCATAAACGTTACCATGGGATTCACATGTTGTACAATGATCACATGGGACTGATGACATTGCCCGTAATCATTTACCGTCATGTAACATTACTCACCATTACTCCTGATTATTCTTGACTTTCAGTTTGTTATGGCAAATTATTGTGGTGCCCTATTGCACCGAAATTGTCTGCCTTATAAGTAGATCATTCATTACAACTTATATTACTGTGGATTCCACAAATATGATTCTCGGTGATTGTTTATCTAGATTGCGTAAATGTTAAGGATACCTGTCAGTATCTGTTGAAAATCGCTTTTCAATTTCAAAGTGGATGCAAGTGAATACGTAATGGATATCGTATTCTTCCTTTCCTCCCTTGATACTAGTAGCCTGATCAAACCGTGAGTCTCTGTGAAAGTATTGTGAGTGAGAAAAACAATCGGAACACAGAACACGACCTATTAGATTTGTATGAAACCGGAACGGCATAAACATAGCAAGCAGTAGAAATACCTTATCCATGTGATAATGTCTACATCGTGGAACTAGACCACCAACCACAAATACTTCAGCATAACTTGTAGAAATACAAGAAACCTTCGAATCGGAGTCAGGTTCACTCTCAAGTCGAGGTATACAGACTCTCTTAATTCACAACGATAAGACCATGTGGCGTCGGTTTTCAATAAACAGATGGGATAACCTGTTTAGGACGTCAATGAAATAACTTTTCAAACAAAATCTGTTAACAATTTGCAATATTGGTGATTTGCTCTCAATAAACCATCCACTTACTGTTGATATTCTCTGAATCACCAAAAACAGACTGACAGTTTGTTATGCCCTTTTCAAGCTGGTCTCACCAACTCACTTTCACATCAAGTGCTGTCAAATCAAGTCGACAATATTGAGACTGTAGACAAAAGTGCTGTATACAGACGTCTGTTATCAATGTAATTCGAATATGTGACGACCGTTACAGGGTCTAACGCATTTCCATTCCTTAAGGTCACGACTTATATTCATGAAACGCGAATCAATTTGTTGGCTAACGAAATCACGATTTCAACAGCCGATAGACTCATGCAAATATTTATCGGTTGAGGTGGCCTCATCAAACAACAATACGGCAATAGGGAGTATGCATGTCGACAAAATTGTTACGGTTGTAGTTTCATTTCATGATCTTCACTGTTCACTTGATTTACAAATTAACAGATCAGTCAAATGAAGAGTGACAAGTGAGTAGTGAATCGTTGTGTTATAGTTGGATTTTAACAAATATCTGTGTTTTTAAATCTATCAGTAGTTTCAAGTTTCGTTGAAAAGTGATAGTAGATAGACAGTTCATTTAAACATGACCATGTAGCATGATAGTTACTGTTCATAAAATGCTTTCAATTTCGAGTCACAGACTGTGGTTGTTGGATGAATATGGTTCGATCAAAATGTTTTGTAACCATTTGTGAAAATGTGTTCAATTTGGATGTGATCAACATTCAGTTGTCAACATCAATGTTACCCGTGCAAATCGGTAATTGTTCCAGAATCGCTGTATACATGTGCTCTCAATATGTGCATATTCATTCAGACGATTATAGTGAAGCAGAATATTTGTTTTAGTGTTGCACAAATTGTGATAGGACACAATTGTTGTCCACCGATCAAACACAATTGACAAATTAACGTTGAACTAACCGTCATCTAATCCCTCGACTACAATACTCATTACCATTGATTAAATTTACACCCTCCTTTTTGTTATGTCATTACACATTGCAGGCTCGGTTATCAGTCTCATTCAAAGGCATATTACTACCAAGAATCATCAAAGCTTTCATACACTTTTCTTTCAGATGACCCAATCAAATCAAATTAAATAAACACTGTTTTAGTCTGTAGTAAACTTAACAATATTCTTGAATCACATTCTGTAATTTTAACACACAATACATGGAATATGGTAATTAAATTGTTGACTCTTATTATCTACATTACTTTTGAAAAGAAAACGCTGAGTATTTGTTTGCAGTGAATAATATGCATAATCACTATAACATTGTAGCGAGCGTACGTGAGTAGACAAACACGAATTGGCTTTTAGGATGTCTTTTTTGTGAAAATGATTTACTTCAAAGATATTCCACGTACAATGACTGAGTTTCGTAAGCTTGTTCACCGAAAATCATTAAGTCGGATGTATTCAGTGGTGGTTCACATGTGCAACGAATTGAGGAAGGTTAGTTAAAATTAGCCGATGACACATCATCCAATAGGTGGACAACATGAATTTCCTACACTTATTCATTCATGTCATGTGTGTTTTAGGAAATATCCTCGGTTAAAACTCATCAAATACCAGTTTGTAATTTCTCAAATTGTGCTTCTCAAATACAGAATCTTTCTCAATTAGCGCAAAATGCTTTGTAGGTGATTGTTGGCCTGACTTTGCTCGTCATTATTTCCTTCGATTCGGATTACATTGTTTGCAATGCTTCTTAATAACCATGCCTGTTCACAAGCGATCATTCGTCTGTCCGTGATCTTGACGATCTTCCCCATTCATGGCGAAACTATCCGTTAACTGATTTGTGCGGACTATTCTGTATCTGATAGTCGATACAGTGAATAATCCCTAATGAATTATAGTGAATGACTGACTCCTCGAAATACACATGCTAAGTCGTGGTCATGCTTGCTTCGGTTCTCTCTATTTATTCTCTATCCATGCATTGTAGGGTTTCCGTATTTTCTTATGCTACTTGGTGATATTCGGCATCCGATGCAGTTGGAATGATTACTGTACGTATGATGTGACGTATGTTGGTTTGTTGGATAAAGTTTTGGTGTGTTCACATCAACTAGAAACATTTAAAAAATGGCTATCAAGTCTGCTTTCCTCAAAGCTTGTAACAGTCGTCTCCAGGATTCCTGCATTTTCCAGATCTCTGTTCAAACTTGAAAGTTTCCATTTTTGAGCTCTCTGAGTCTGCGTTTGGACTGATACTGTTACATAAGAAACTCCCCAACATATAACATCTTATTAGGAAATTATTAAATAATTGATAGTTAAAAGCCTTACTTCAATACGGTCGATCGCAGTAACATTAATGCTTATTAGGTGAAGAGTAATTACGTAACTCATAGTCGGATTTTCTATTCAGGCGATTCCAACCATCCAGTAGACCTACAAATTACGTTTAAAGTCAGCTTCTACCAACGCACTGAAATCTCAACATAACTGAGTCAACATTACTTTCGAACGTAAAGTCAGAATCTGACACGCAAATGAGACGAAAATAGAACTGTTTCCTAAGACAAACGATAGGCCTAGTCGCATGTTATTCTGCAGAAACAACATTGCCTAGTGTACAGTTTTCGATTGTGAGAGCGTGATAATCTGACACTTAGCAAATTTTTTAATCTAATGATATTTATCTGTCGCTGGCTCGATCATTCATCAGGTAACCATGGATATATGGAATTCATAAAGTTGGAAGAGCATTATGGGAGTTTGTGTTCTCTTTACAGTATGTGTTTTGATGAACCTTTCAGCTGGATATAACACAGACAGGTAAATTTTAAAACACCTGCCTGGACAATCACGTGTTATTGCTCGAAAAGTGATGGAAATTTTAGTTTATGATGCGAACAATGAATAAAGTGATGCTGAATGGACGTTTCCAAGCTTACAACATATTTTTTTGCCTCAAAGTAATATTTTTGATGAAATCGTCTATGCCTTAGAACAACAAATTTCCAAATGCTGGTTTAGAACAAAACAGAGTTCTCCGTTCACGAAGTGGAATCGGGTTGTAGTGTGGCGTCGAATCGCGGTTGACTGTGATCACCACTACAGGAAGACTACGTGCCAGTTAACCGATAAGATCCCTCGTAGGCCAAATATGAGAAGGCAGTTGGTGGCTGTAGTCGAGATGTGTTTGTTGGCGATCCCGTGGTATCGAAAGAATACCGAGATCGTTTCAGGTTATAAGTGGGGTTACTGAGCATAACCGAATTCATGCAAGGCCACAAACAACGGAAGAATGTATGTATTTTGGTACAGTTAAACAAACGAGTACGGTGAAACAAGCCCTGGCACAATTGGTTATAATAATAATTGTTTCTATTAAAAGTAGGTCACTGCGGGTTAATTCTACTTCAAAACGTTTTACGGCCTTTAGGAAAAGGAGTTTTGCATTGTGAGAGACGTATGTGTGCTTAAACGCGAATCGAAACACAATCACTACTCGTAGTTCTGTTTTTAAACTGAGTTGGGAATGGTTGTCGAGGTTAGTTCACGCACGTGAGAAGAGCTTGACTCTTATGCGTTAAGCTGATCAGGATAGACGTTACGTATATTCGACTGATATGAGATAATCTCACCGAAATGATTGGTAGTAACGGTCAAAGAGAGGTTCATAATATTTCTAGAATCATCGAAATATGAGGCTATTTAAAGTGCATCATCTGAGAAGGCATCAGCAGTCAAACTTATCACCTATCATGCTAGGTCTTGAATTCTCAACGGAGATTCAAGTATCATCAATAGACAGAAAACAACGTGATTAGCGGAGCAACGTGATATATTAGCGCGATGCATTCCAAATATTTGATCACACAAAAATCTGTTAAGAACATTACTATATAATAATAAAGAGTAAATTAGATAACGCTAGACAATCAAATTACAAAAAAAAACGGAATAATTTTAATAAGAAACAGTGTGTAGAAGGAAAAAACAAACAAAGAAGTTCAAATACTACAGCGTATTAAAAATCAACCACGTAAAATATGCTTAATACGTAAAAACAAAACAGAAATGAATTCAGACCCCGTGATAAATGGAGTGTGAGACAGATATCAGCCCAAGAATAATGAACAAAACGTTGCACAAAATCACGGATTAATTAAAGTTGAACGGATACAACTTACGATGCATGGTCATTGGTTTAGAAATTGATCGATCGCAAACAAGTTCGAGATTGCTGGATACCAGTGCTATGTGCACGTTCGTGCATTCATACCACTCACAATAATGTGCATATACAAATGTTAGATTTAAGTTAATTAAGGTCAATTATTTTCAGTCTCTTCCATTAGAATGTTTTCGTTAATTAACTGTAAACCATTATCAGGTTATCAATTGTCTATTGATATTCTTCCAATTGACCAATGAAAGCAACCGACATGACGAAACTAGGAACAAATGATTTATTTCTTTGAATAATCAATATCAAATATGGATGTCTTCTACTCAAATTCATCACGTTCTTGAGGTACATTGTTTTAAACACTGTTGATTGTAAGTAATGTGTTTATTTGTGATATGAAGTTCTGTTTGAATGATTAGTTTAAGTTGAAATAAAAACGGATTCCAACTTGATCTCGTCAACTAATTACAAACAACCATTAGCTAAGTAAACAGTCTGTAACTTGTTAGAGACATTTTAATAAAAGCTGTATCTCCATAGAGAAATCAGTGTTGTAATACTAAAAAAAAACTCACTTGTTGAGGCTTTCAAGGTAGACGATATAGAATGCTTTCGCTGTGTATTCTATGACCAATAATTGAAGGGATCAAAATCTAAATAAGTAATGTAACTGTTTGTGATCGGACAAATATTAAGCGAATATAATGAGTTACAGATGGTAACTCCAATTTAAGCTGTGTTGGATGTGGTGTTTGTATGAACTAACGAATCCTTTGTAGTTGAGGACTGTTTGATTTCGTATTCCAAATACAATATGTTCGTTAGTGCTCATCTAATACTTCTTGCTTACATTGCGTTATTTCTAAGATTCTTGGTTTGCACTATAATTTAAATACTCGTAATTATCGAAACTGGCATCGCGATGGAGTCTGTGATGCAACAGTTGGACATTCATTCAACTTATGAAACTTTTGAGGATTATTTGTAAAATTTTGGAATCTGGAGAATGATCAAGAAAAACGTTAAGGGTGATAAAATTTTGCCACATTTCATTACATTTAATCAGAAAAGAAGCCTACAGTTTATTAAGAACGTTGACATATTCAGAAAACTCTGTCTCACTTCATCATGCAACGCTTAAGGAACTATTATTAAATCATGTAAAGTGTACCAGTTTTGAATGTCGTGAGGGAGCAAAATGAGCAAAAAGGTAGTAGATCCATCCTTGAATTGAAAAGACAAGCTGCCAAGTGCAATTTTGGTGATCGACTTCATGTGCAGCTGAAGGATCGACTAATTGTAGGAATTAACATACCGGGTATGTAAAGAGAGCTGGTAAGAATGTCGAACTGTTCCATTCAAGACGCTAGAACTGCATGTACTAACTACGAAGCAGTGAATGAACTTGATATCCAGTCGATGAATATTTCAAATACTTTACTCAGTCGTCATGATGAAACACAATCTCAGGGTCGGACAAACTTGCGCTCGTTTAATAGTGATTCCAATTTTCGTGAAAATATGAAAGGTGATTCAAGAAGTAATCGCAAAGCAAGTTTGGTAAATGTTTATCCTGTGGCAAATTTCATCCTCGTAATTCATGTGCATTTCGTAATGCAAAATGTTTTAAATGTGGTAAGATAGGATACATTCAGTCGTATACACAACTACTGTTCATTTTGCTTCAAGTAGTACTAAATCTTGTAATTCAGATCCCAATAGTTCGGCTGTTCCTAACGATCATTTATCTTTATCCACCATTTCGAACAGTAATCCTCATATTCAAAAGTGATTATATGCATCCCTCGGTTCATTTCATCCACTGAATTCACAATATTGGGGATTACTGGACACAGACTGCTCATACGATGATGCTGCGAATTGCTAATATAAGTTGATAATTCTTCATACCTGCCTTCTGAATGTTTAGTTAGCGGAACAGGACTGTCAATACTGGGTTTAAAAAATAGAAACGGTTTAAAGTGGAGTTGTTTTTACTAGCTTTCAAAGAAAATTCTGGTGCTTTACTTAAAGATTCGATAGCTACG